ATGGGCTTTCCATTTGCCATTTTTTTTATTTCTGATCAGGATCCTCTATCTTTAAAGTCACGTGAATTTACCACTGATAAGTGGACCTGATGATCCCTAAACCATATTTCAGTTATCAGACACAATAACTTCAAAGGTTAGAGGACCTCAATCATTTTCCATGTACTCCTATGATGTTCCTATTTCATAGTAAGCTGCAGTAACGGCATATGAGTGTACTTTTTTCCGTGTAATTGAGAAGGATAAAACTTATCAATAATGATGTACCAGTAAAGTTACTCTATGCACCCGAACCCGCATATAAATAGTTGCTTGCCTCTTCATCGATCTTCATGTGACGTGAAGAACCTAGCTGTCACCACTCGCCAGTGAAGTGAAGTAACTCAAGAATAGCCTCTTAGATTTCTGATGAACAATTGCGAAGGGGAGGGAAGGGCCAGCAAATGCATCGATGGAAAGCGTTGCTTGGATAGCTCCGCGATGGCTTCGCCTTGCCAAAATCCCGATCTAATTAACCATGTGCGTGATGTAGGAAGGGGATGCGTTGGGAAGTCGAGCAGGAGAACGCGAGAGGCACCATGCGCGTAGACGGTTCTTCAGGGCGCTGTGGATACATGTTGGCTGCCGTACCGCGCGGGGTGCACAACACAACCATGCGTCTCGCAGCGGAGCAGCATTTCTTCGTTGGTCTGTCACTACGGCCAGGAACCAACTCACGCATACCGCCCGCGATCTGTGGCATTCTCTCTCGCTAAGAGCAGGTACAATAGCAGTCTATAAGCTAGCTGCAAACATATTTTAAGGAGATAAATCAGGAGAGAGAAGAGCAGCCTGTAGCACGGACTCCAAGACGCAGTGTGTCTATAACAGGTGGGACTAGGTATTAATAATGTAGTACGTAACTATTATATAAATAAGCTATTAAATTGAATATAGATAAATTAGAACTAGTAGTTGGCTATACAATTGAACTTGCTCTACGGTCCCGTTTGAATGGGCAGAATTGCATGAGAGTTGCGGGCGACAGCTGCAGTGAACGTGTGGACCGATTGAGCAATGCTGATTCTATTAATTCTTTTATTTACGTGGGAAGAAATTAAGTACAGTGTACCTATTCTTCGATCACCACTTTTATACAAACCATCAACCTATTCATAAACTGGACAATATTTTGGCATTTCACAAGTATAGTTATTTTTCTCCGAGAATTTTTGGGACACAAGCCAGCTGCACGCCCTGGTAGGCCACCATGTGCATGCACACTGTACACACAACTACTAGTAGTAATTGAAGCTAGGTACGGATAATGGTGGATAACATATCACTCATCTCGTATATTATTCTATATTATTTCCTCATAATCGGATTTGAGAACATATATTTATTAGTATATATTAAATATGAGGCAATTAAAGTACTTAAAAAAGATACACCAAGAGAAAAATTATACAATATTACATATGAGCTCATAAAATAGTGATTAACTAATCTTTTACTATGTTTATAGGTGGATTTATAATAGATTTATATGTTTAATAATGTGGGACATGCACGTGAATACAAGTCTTTTCTCACTTTTTTTTACGGATTCAGATTTAAATTCGGATAGTATATATCGGATATCTCTTTCTTCTCCTATATTTTTTTCAGCACGCCTCGGGTCGGGTCGGCGGTCGGGAAATACCTGTCCCATTTTCAATTTTCACCTCTACCGGCCAGTGGCCCCAGGGCCATCAGCCCATCACGTGCTAGCTAGTATTTCCCCAAGCTAGCTGCTGGTTGGTTGATCATTCGCTCAACCGGAGCCATCAAGGCGCCCAAATCTGCAGATCTATATATCATGTGGTACACAGTACTACACACATCACACATGAAGAGCGTGAGGAGTGAAGGGAAGCAAAAAAAAAAAAAAAAAAAAACTATGAGAGGAAGGGAAGTATCACACCAACATGTATAGGAACGGGATGCGTTGGGAAGTTGAGCAGGAGATAGAGGAGACATGACAGGTGCATATGCCCACATGAAGTTCCAAGCATGGCCACCTTGACAAATTAGTACTTGCATGGCCTCGAGAAGTATATTTGCCCCTCTGAGGCAGCTGTCACGGTGGGTAGGAACGCAAGGGAAGATGTGTGTTCTTGCCAAACGGAGGACAAGCTACTCTTGAGTCTTGACACACAGGGAGATGGAGGAGGAGCTAGAGGAGGTGCCACTGCCGTTGCCAAACATGTATTCTCACTCCAAACCAATAATCCGCCTTTGTGGGCTCGTAGCTGTCGCGCCAGCGCCGCGCGCTCCATGTTCTCTTGCCAAATGCTATTTTGTGACTGCTAAGTAAGATGCTAATGCTACGGTGCGGTTTATCGGGAAAATGTATGTTGTTTGATAATAGAGCTAAGCTGAGTGCATAATCAAACTTGATGAAACTCAATACTCCATCTGAACCATGGGAAGTACTAGACAGGAACTGTGGTGTCACCGAGAAATCACACCCATCTGAACAATTGAAAAACAGGAGAAGCTTATGGAACACAGGGAAAAGATGATTTTTTAAAAAAAAACAAGTAAAATACACGACCGGTTCTTAAACTTAGACCATTGGGATATCATCTAGATCCATCAACTTATAAAATGCACATCTAAATTCATAATCTTGTTTTAATGTATCAGTCAAGATCTAGAGTACAAATGATTCGGCCCGAATACTGACGTGATAGTCCACAATAATGAGAATTTTGTATTTAGACTTATTCGCTATAGTATATACTCTCAAATGGACTCTGACCACTCCCAAAGCGACTGCCACCACACCCGTGGGAGACAAGACGAAGAGACAGTGATTAGGATGGTGGTAATAATCGGCCACAAGAGGATAATCACGCAAGCCTAGTGCAACGTGATTGTCTCTAAGGGGGAAGATGATGGGCCTCAAATTTCTGGAGAGTCACGGCAACAATAATGCCTCACCCAAACTTGTGGGATAGCCCTCTTCCTATAGCACCTTTTATCTAGGCTGAGGAGACTAGGGGTGAACCAAAAGATCGTGACTCGTTAGCTCGCTCAGCTCAGCTCGGCTCGGCTCGTTTCATTTTTCTAACGAGCTGAGCTGGCATTTTAGCTCGTTAGAGATAACAAGCCAGCTCACAGGACTGCCTTTTCTCCTAGCTGCTTGTGGCTCATTTATTTAGAAGGCCCATAAAAACCCTAGCTCTACTGATCTACTCACGCCCCTGCCCCTCAATCCCTTCCTCACGCTGTCTCGCCCTCCGCCCATGCCGCCAAAGCGGAGTCCACTCGAGCGGCTGGCCGCCCTCAGCGCTTGGCACCATGCCACCACATGCCCGTCACCAAGCGCTCAGCGCAGTCTGCCTGTGCCCGACGCCGCCTGTCCCTAGTGCCCGATGCTGATCACCCCCAGTGCCTGGTGTCGGCACCCGTCTGGCGCTGCCTGACAACAAGCTCCTCTCCCTGGTGCAAGTTTCATGGAGCTCGAGCTCATCTCATCCACGTGGTCGAAGTGCTAGCTTGTCGCCTCTACCGTCGAGCTCCACCCCGTGGTCGCCAGCGAGCTCGACCTTGTCTCCTCCGCCGTCGATCTCCTCCCATGGTGGTCAACGAGCTCGAGCTTGTGTCCTCTGCAGTCGAGCTCCTCCGTGTGGTCCATGTGCCGTTGTGCCCATAGACGCCCACCGCTGGCTGTGTGGCCGCGCCGCGGGTCCTTTCCTCCTTTTCCGTTGGCTCGTGAGCTAGCTTGAGCTTGCTGATGAGCCGAGCCGAGCCGAGCTAGGGTTTTAACTCGTTAGGATAACAAGCCGAGTCAAGCCAGCTCGACATCCACCCCTAGAGGAGAGTTTTGATTGCCGATGATAGCAGAAACCTTAATCACCATGTCTTTCGCCTCCTCTCCCACACACGCGATGTTAGTCTATTTGGTAGTGGACGGAGTTGATTTGGGAGCATACTGTACAGCAGAGGGGTCCACAAAATTTTCATCACTATGGACAGCCATGTCAGCACCCAACCTGAGTCACTTGTACTTTGAACCTCAGATTATATATTAAACCAAAATAGGAAATGGATGTGCATTATAAGTTCATAGACCTAAATGACACCCTAGTCCAAGTTTAAGTACTGGTCATATATTTCCCTCTCTTTTTTTCCAGCTTTAAGATAGAACTATCCGCCGTTCGTAACAGCCTGAAATTGCTGGTTTAAGAGGACACATGACACAACTTAACTAGCTACTGTTACAACAAAATTTTCATCTTTGACTTAATCAAGAGTAGCTCCCTTCACTCATCACCTTCCACACGCCACCAACCAGTAACTTACCCTTCAGACTTTCAGAGGAAAGGTCACTTCTGACATATCTGAAATCTCACGTTCAGATATTGCCGGAATGCATTCAACATCCAATTGCTTCTCAGGATGAGAATGATAGCCAGCCCTTTCAGTATGGTCATCAAGCTCAAAATTTACATGTTGCTCCAATGTGTCATCTTTCAATTCATGATCGATGACATCAAGTGTCGGAAGAACAGCCGTTGAACTAAATGAGCATGGTACCATTCCTATCGCACAGGGGGTCCAAGACTTTGTTATAGACCATCTGCTACGTTTCTCCAACAAGATTGTGTTCAATGATCCCCCGTTGCCATTTTCTGCCAAACATACATCCTTCTGTTTCAACTGTGACTTGAACATTTCCAGCTTCTCTGTTGCCCTGTCAGCTGATTCTATTTCTTTGGAGGACTCCGTGAGGATAGAAATTCTAGCCAACTTTCCCAGGGATAACATAAGAAGCTTCCTCAGTTTCTCTTTCACATTATTGCTGGCCATCTCAAACAGCAGTAGTGCTGCATCTATGAGACATCTTTCACCTATAGTGGACAAACTCAACTTCTGCAGAAGTTTTGCTGGACAGGAACATTGGACTACATTTCTGTCTGAAGAGAGCACTCCTATCTCGTGAACAAGTCCAATGCAGCCTGAATCCTTTATTTCTTTTATATTTGTCACAAGCCACAGAACAAGGGAATATAAATTTCCATTTTTGCTGGCATTCAAGCATTGGATTCACCTATAAATATAATAAAAGCCAATGAGGTCAGGCACATGCCTGGGCAATATAACTCTTAAAAGAGACAGGAATAGAAATGTTAGCATCAGGTATGGACAATAAAATTAAAAAAGGGTAATCCTTCCATCGCAGGATTGTAGTTTTTGAAGCAATGCATCAAATGAATCCTAAGATAAGATCCAGCGAGGGAAGCAAATTGAAAATAGAACCAGCAATAAGAACAGTACTTTGTTTTTAAGGCCTTCCACTGTTCCACATCAATCATTTCAACTACTGACTTCAGTATGGCAAGCAGCAATCTTGGTTCCTTCTCCGATAATTTTGTTATGATAGTTTTCATATCACAACTTGTTATTCAGTTTATGTTATCCACAGCCAAGACTATTTATCGCGTATGAATCTCCCTAAATTTCGCAGACGCTGTTGAGGGTAACACTGTTAACTTAAAAATCAACCTCTTTGCACAACAAACTGTGACATATGCATCTGAAGCCCACCCAATATGAAGGGCACTTTGCCTTCAGCGGGATAATGATGCTGTGAAACCACTAAACGAATTGCAATTTCCTATTTGAGAGTTTTTCCCATGCATCCAGTAGGAATCTACTTGCTCACCTCATGATTGCCATACTACACAGCATCGCCGACATCTCTTCAGACTCCAGCGGATCATCCACAGCCATCACATTCCTATAGAAAACAAGCAAACACATAGTATGGGGGTGTTTACATCAGGGACGTAAAGTTTTAGCATGTTATATCAGGTATTACATAGGGTGTCGCATGGTGTGTTCGGATACTAATAAAAAAACTAATTACAGAATCCGTCAGTAAACCGCGAGACGAATTTATTAAGCATAATTAATCCGTCATTAGCAAATGTTTGCTATAGCACCACATTGTTAAATTATGGAGCAATTAGGCTTAAAAGATTCATCTCGCAAACTAGTCGCAATCTGTCCAATTAATTATTTTTTAACCTATATTTAATACTTCATGCAAGTGTTCAAACGTTTGATGTGATAGGATGAAAAAAAATTTAGAGTGTGATATAAACAGGGCCTATAACATCATCCCAACTCCATAAACACAAAGCAGAATTGTCGCAACCTCGCACAAATCAACATACCGGGAAGAAGAAGGGATTCCGATTCCCGCAGCCGTATCTCGACGAACGCCGCGGCCACATCTACGGCGACCGGGAGGGCGCCCCTGCTCCGCCACGCCGCGATCTGGAAACAAGCAAAGCGCTCAGAGAATCAGAGATTACACCCGCTTTGCAGAAAAATTTTGAGGCCTTACCCTGTGAAGAGCGGCGATGGGGCAGGGGGAGAAGAAGAGGCCGTCGCGCACGAGCCGCGCCGCTCGGCCCAGCTCGACGACGGGACCATCTTCCGGCCGGTGGAGAGGCCGCCGCCGCCGCCTCCATGGAAAACCCTACCACTCCTCGCGCGGTTTTACTTTGGGAGTGCGCATGAGTCGCTGCATTGTGGGGCCCGGTTTCCAGTCTCAGAGTCAGAGGCAAGAGAACCGCAAAACACAGGACGCGCTCCGCTCCTCTGCCGCCGCCGCCGGAGCTCTCACCTCCAGGGGCTCTCGCCACGAGCCGCCGGAGCTCAACCCGTGCCGCCGCACGGGCGCCGGCGGACGGCTGGAGGCCGCTGCTGCATCCTTCTACCGCCCGCATTGCTTTTGCTCCCTCCTCCTCGGCTCCTCCCTGTCCAAACACCGGCAGGTGAGTACCCTAACCTAAATCCCTGCACCCCGTCCAAAAGTGTAGTGTGATATCTCTTCGTGTTCATGTGAGTGGGAAATTGGATGATGCTATTGGAGTGAATTAATCACAATGTATAGTACTAGCCTACTAGGGACGATGCCATTATGGTTAAATTGGGGATATATTTTGATAGGTTTATATGGAGAACAATGGATGCACCCATGCTTATAAAGGGATTGAGATGATTAAGGAGATGGGACTACATGATACTAACTACAGTCGTAGTTCTTAGGGTAAACACACTTTATTAGACTTGAAAAATGACTCCCAATTGGCCAACCTCATTTTAGCAAAGAAAATGTAGAGCATAAAGATTATTGCATCAAATCGTTGCCTCAATTAAGGCCATATATGTTGTTCCAAGCTGATAAGTTAAAGGAAGGGATAATCGCAGCATCAAGATCACTTACAGAAAAGGTATTACCTTCTATATCTGCTCAGGCACAATGACATCCCCGTCAATCTCTATATCTCTGATGTGAGCTATCTTTGCATGATACTCCCCACCTTCTTGGCATTGTTGCTTAATTTGTGGACATCCCTTGATGTAAAGCTCGTTGAGCCCCATCGGCAGGCCTTCTTTTGGCAAGCTTTCAACCCCGGGACAGTTACTAATCCGTAGTGTTTCAAGTGAGGAGATGTTGTGCAGACCAGGAGGTAAGCATTGAAGATCATCACAGCATGATATCTCCAAAAATTGAAGTGTGTGAGGTAAACCCTCTGCTGGAAAGTTATTGATATCAGGACAATCAGCAATTTCAAAATGCCTTAGATGAGGAAGGTAACTTAGGCCATTTAGAAGCACACTTGCTAATGGAGTGCATGAGTTTAGACGGATATCTTCGATTGAAGTGGGAAGCAAGCCTCCCTCCAGTGCTGTCCAAGGCACCAGACAAGGGCACTCGTAGATGTGCAGGCTTCTGAGTGATATTAATGGACGGAAACACTCCTCTGGCAGTGAAACAAGCCCTTCACAATGGGCTATTGTTAGACTTTTGAGAGCTGTTGGTCTGTATGCAAGTAAACCTACACGTAGAGATGTTAGATTTGGGCAATCATTGATGTATAGAGATGTTGGTGAAGATGGACAAGAATTATTCTGAAGCTCTGGAAGTGACTCAAGCCCTGATTCAGAAATCCACAGTGTTCTTAGTGTTGATGGAATAGGAGGTAACTTCTTCAACTGTGGGCACTTGATGAGACCAAGTTCAGTTAATTGTGGAAACAATTGATCAGCAACATCAAAAATCCACTCGCTCAGATTTGGCATATCTTCCAATAGAAGATCTTCTAAAGCTGGAAAACCTTTTGGTTGTCCAAATCCTGTGAACTCACTGCTGAGTTGTGTCACCTCAGTTACTCCAGCTATGACAAGATATTTTAAAAAGGGAAGCTGGCCTAAAGCTGGAAGCCTTGTGCTTCTACAGTTGCATATATGTATGGTTTGCAGCTTGGGAAGAAATGAACTAGCCAGCCAGCTTGGGAACCTCACCCCAGGGAACCCTTTAATCACTAATTCCTTGAGATCGAGATGTGGTTGAAGACCTTCTAGAACTTCTTGCTGCTCTGAAGGATTGCTTTCACAGTCCTCATCCCATATAAGGTGTAGAGTTCGAAGATGCTCTTTGTTTCTCAACTTTGCACAAACTGCATCTTGCCCATTAGGTACATTATTGAGGCCACGAATAGAAAGTTGTCCTTGCAGCTCATCCATGTTATTTAGTTCTGTGACGTTGTGCCCTGAGCGCTTCTGAACTACAAATTCTTCTAGTTCCTGTAGGCATACCAAACTTCCAATTCCATGTATCCTGGACAGTAGTCTTGTACTTGCTTCTAAGTGGCGCAGATTAATGAGCCTAGTGATGCCTTGTGGCACTTCCCTTAGAAAATTGCAGTCACTCAGCTTTAGTATTTGCAAGTTATAGAGCTTAACAAGAGATGCTGGTAATGTTTCGATTTCAGTGCTACTGAGATCTAGGAAGCGCAGTTGTTTCAGATTCCCTATAGATTCTGGTAACTCTTTAAGGCCTTGTCCATGCATATCAAGCACTCTAAGATATTCAAGTTTCATAAATAGACCATGAGGCAATTGAGACATCCTTGACTTGTATCCATGGATAATAGTCAGTGTCCTTAGCTTCCTAAACCCATACAGTGGATTGAAGTGCATGCACTTGGCATCCTTGCATGGAAATGAAAGATGACGGGTCTTAATGGCATTGTCATGTCTTCTCCCATAATCTAAGTGGTCGCAGTCTTCCATGGAGATAGATTTTGCAAGGTCGTGCATTGCATCATGCATCACATAGTTATTCTCATATGGCTGGAAGAAAGACCTGCTTAATAACTCATTAAAGTATGCATTTCCAGTATCTTCCATTCTCTTCTTTCTAGACTGTCTGATGAAACCAAGTGCTAGCCAGATCTTAACCAGTTTCTCTCTCCTGAACATATAATCCTTAGGATATACAGAACAGAATGCAAAGCACTGCTTAAGATGTGGTGGTAAATGGTTGTAACTTAGACGTAGGGCTGGCAGGATGTTATTCTTATCTGCCGGTAACTCCCATATGTCATTTTGCAGTATGTCCTTCCACTCCTCTTCATCTGTTTTGCAAAACAGGAGGCTCCCTAATGCCTTTGATGCAAGAGGCAATCCCTTCAGCTTCTTCACAATTTCCATTCCTATCGCCTCCAACTCCGGATGTGCGCTGCAGTCACCATCCCTAAATGCATGGCTCTTGAATACAGACCAGCTGTCATCATCTGATAGTTTCTGTAACTTGTAGGGCTCTATTCCTCCCATGATTCTGCCAACATTCTCATTTCGTGATGTCACCACTATCTTGCTTCCAAACCCTCCTGAAATTAAGGCTGCTCTATAGCTGTGCCATTTATCAAGGTCTTCATTCCAGACATCATCCAAGACAAGCAAGTACCTCTTGCCCCGCAATACTCTGGAGAGTGTTTCCTGTAGCATATTCATGTTAGTACTAGCAACAGATTGGTCATAGTCAGAAGCCTCAAGAGTTTCTTGTGTTAGCTTTCTCTCATCAAAACTTTCAGACACATAGATCCAGATCCTCAAGTCAAAGTGTTCTCTTACTCTGTCATCATGGTACACCATCTGCATAAGAGTAGTTTTACCAAGCCCACCCATGCCAACAACTGGAATGACACATAAGTTGCAGGAATTATGTCCATTATCAGAGAGCACCAGCCTCACCATTTCTTCTCTGTCCCTCTCCCTACCAAATACAGCCGAACTATCTACAAGAGAACTTGATTGCGGACGCTCTGAGGTATCATACCGTCTCATTTCACATATCATCTGGAGCCCAATGGTGTCGCGTTCTTGCGCAATCTTATCTAATCTCTCCAATATGATGTTAATCTTATGCTTTATCCTATGCTGGTACAGATTCCTACTCAAGAAGGAGGAAGAAAGAAAACTTGCCTTTGTGGGGAATATCACCTGCCTCTGCTTCATGCGCATACTTTTGGCTGAATAGCTGTCCAGCAGATCATCAAGGTCGTACGCGATATCCTTGAGCTTCGCTAGCCATCCCCTCACAGATGCATCTGTCAACTGCTTCTCCTCAGCGTCGTCAAGGAAAGCCTGTAACTGAGACAGTGTGGAAGAGAGGCTCTCTAGCTTGCCATGTATGCCTCTCCAAGATATGAAATGATCAAGGGTTGCTTCTGACAATTTCTGGAAGAGGGTTTGCATGAAGGCTCCTAAAATTGCTTCTGCTGCCATGGCAGTTTTTTTTTTTTGTCTGTGTGTTCCCCTCTTTTGCCCTTTTAGCCTGTAAGAAGTAGAAGTGAAGAAAGACTGAATTAACAAGGGTTTGGGACGTTGACCTGTAAGGTGGTGTTTTTCCACGCAATTTCAGACACGATATGCCCCGTAAACAATCTCTTTCCATAGATCATTAATCACTTAAAAGCTTATGTGCGCGTTGGAACTTTTTACCCCATACAACTGTGAAGTGATGTTGATATTGTATTGTTCCTTTCTTTCCACTCAGTTGGTTGATACTTGATACAGCGTACAAGTCCGGTTCACATGGTCTTTCCTGACATTATCTTATAAAAATAATCTGGTCTTTGCAAGCGTGTTGAATTTTGATGACTGTACACTTCTTGTGAAGTTTGTGATCATGTTAAAAAGAAGGAAGTTTATACTTTTGATCGTGCAGTCCACAGCAGAGTTCAAATTTCGGTCTTTTTTTGTGAATTTGGTAACATTTTGTTCAAATTTGACCAACATTTGTTTAAAATTTTGGAAATTTTAGACCGAAATTTCTAAAGTCGGAAATTTTGATATATCGGTGGCCTCTGATAGAATCGGCCAAACCGAAAAATTAAACCCTGATCCATAATCACTTGGTGTATGGGCCGGGGGATTTGCAATTATGACACTGCAAACATTAACTTTTGCTATAATGACACTGGACCCACATTTCATAGACACAAATGGACCTATTTGTCATCCACTCGGAGTGTCAAAACAGCGGAGCCCCCATGTTTGCAGTCCCAATATTGCAATTTTCTCGTCTGGCCCGTGGGAATCAAAACAAAAAAGAGTTAGTTCGGAGTACAAGACAATTCTTTAAAATCTGGAGGAGAGTTTTCTTGACTCGGGAGTCGGGGACACTCTTGTCTAGACAGTCGGCTTCTAGTGGTGGTTGATGTAGCTAACTTTTGGTCATATGTTCATACCTATTAGACTTACAGTGTTAATACCTGTTCATTAAAATTTCTTTGGAAATAAAAATGTGTGATACTATTGAGGAACTTATATCACTTCAATTAAGAACAAATAAGGATCCAAACTTTGGTATGGCCTTCCGCCAGCTGAGCTTCGCTTAGCTTAACTCCTTTTCTTTCAAGATGGCACTGAAGAAAAAGTGACAAACATGTGGTTAATCCTATAATTCGAGAAAGGGGAAACTACACCATGCTGTTCAGCAAAATGCATCACCTGAAGCTTTAGGGTTAGTGAGACAGACATAAGCCCAATTCATACAGATATAATGGGGGTCAAGTACAAACCTTGCCTTTGCATTATCTAATGCAGAAGGTATAGATCCTCCGTGCACCTTAAGTAGAGATGTGTTTTCTTCAAATAGATCAGAATATGTTCTAATGAATTGGTTGCCACAATTTACATAAATTCATTATGAATACAATGACTTTGGAGGCTCCAAAGGTTATACAGTTAATAACTAGTAAATATTTTGCTCATCAGTGTTTCCTCAGTTTTACTGGGATCTCCCCTGACGTGACAACATTAGGGAATATCATTGCCATGTTCTGGATCTTCTCAACACTAGGATACGAAGAAGGTCGTCAAGGCAACTTCGACGAACATAGCAGGTTTAGTAACCATGTCAGAAAAGCATTTTGCAACTACCCATTATTACTGTCCTGTTACTGCTATACTAGCTTAACGCTGCTGATTCTTTGGCTGCTGGAACAGTTCAATGTGCAGGAGCACCATGATCTGTTTGAACCACGGTATATTCTCTCTGATTCCGTCAAAGTAAATACGTAGGCACTGCAATTCTGATGTGCTCATGGATTCACTCACTTAGCAGATCTTTGCAGCAAGTGCAGCCATTGTCAAAGACAGGCAGCACGTAGTTGAAGCTTGCAGGAGTTTTGCTCTATCCAAGATGTCACAAACACAGCCTGAGTTCTTACGGCGCTGGATGACAGTGACGTTCTGAAGATGGTTTGCAGATCGGATTTATAGCAAGAAGATTATCGGATGGATTTGGTGACGAGGGCCTGCGCGAGATTCCAACTAACCCAGGATTTTCTCTGTTTTTTTTTTCTTTCGTTTTTGTTTAATAATAATCCGTTTAATTGATGTGTTAGTCCTCCCCGCATACGTCGCACGCGCTGCTGATTGGATAAGAGAATCGAACGAACGTGACAACTGGTTTAGTGGTTTTTTTTTTCTCTGCTTCTTCTCTTCTCTCCGCTCTTCTGCGTCTCTGAGGATCCGAGGAAGTGGCGGTCGGAGGAGGAGGAGCCATGGCGATGCCCTGCCGCCTCCACGGCGACATCCTGCTGCTCCTGCTCGGCGCCGTCGCCGTCGCGGTGGCTCACCCGGCGGCGAACGAGGTGGGGTGCGCTCGGATTTCTCTGTCGCTCGATCGCCAGCGTGTTTGGTTGGTTTGGTTGGTCTGATGTGATTTTGGGTTTTGGACTCTGAAGTTCTGCGCGGCCGTCGGTGGAGGAAGCGGTGGCTGCGGCGTCGGCGGCGGCGGCGGAGGGGACGGGAGGAGGATCCTGATCAGGGGCGGGACGGTGGTGAACGCGCACCGGGTGGAGGAGGCCGACGTGTACGTGGAGGACGGCGTGATCGTCGCCGTGCGGCCCAACATCCCGGTGAGTGTGGCTGCTGATCTCTGAGACTTTGCTCTGGGGTTGGGGAGATTCGGATTGGCTCCTCTTGGGATTCGGACTGCGCATTGACTTGCCGTCTTCAAGACTGCAACAACCAATGAGCCATCAGTAGAGGCTAGACTGTAGCCATGTTCGTTGATGCCAAATTGCCAAGTGACTCTGGAACTGGCTTATACTCCCTCCATCTCAAAATATAAGAACCTATAACCAGATAAGATATTTCTATTTCCTAGTAGTTGACCAGATTCGTAATACTCAGAAATATCTATATGTTCATATTCGTGTTACTAGGAAATCTCTCATCCGATTTAGGTTCTTATATTTTGGGACGGATGTAGCATCTTAAGATGAACAGTTTTGTAGTAATAGGTCACTGCAATTTACTATGGTAAATGTAAAAGTAACTGCTATGGTAAATGTAAAACAAAGGTCATGGAGATATGAAGTGACAGTATAAACAGTAAACTGGAAAAAATGAACACAGTTATCTTTCCTTCTTTCTTGAGATGAGTGAGAAGCCATCTGAAACTAGCAATTTTTTTTATGGAACTGTGAATTGGGGTCCATAAATAGAGGGAAGTTGTGTTGGAGCAGCTTTTTATCAAACCATGTCCTCTCTTAATGTTTCAACCTTGCTATTGAAAAGTCTCATGTTTTCATATCTAGGTTGGTGATGATCATGTAAAAGTGATTGATGCAACTGGAAAATATGTCATGCCAGGTAAATTCTTACGGTTTTGATAAACATTTTGGAATTAGTTATTACTTGCTCTTCGGGTTTATCATTCTTCTGGCAAATGTCACACAGGTGGAATTGACCCTCACACTCACCTGGAGATGGAATTCATGGGAACTGTAACCATTGATGATTTCTTTAGTGGTCATGCTGCAGCATTGGCTGGTGGGACAACAATGCACATTGACTTCGTCATTCCAGTGAATGGCAATTTAACTGCAGGTTTGGAATCCTACAAACAGAAGGCAGAAAAATCTGCCATGGATTATGGATTTCATATGGCCATTACAAAGTGGAATGATGATGTTTCGAGGGAAATGGAAACGATGGTTAAGGAACATGGTCAGTACTTCTTTTTGTGCTGTCAGTTATTTTCATCAGAAATAAGAAATTCCATTCTGGTTCATGAAGCAACTCCTATGTTTCAACCTGAAATCAACTTTGCAAATTTCCTGTAGTCTGCAATGTCTATCAGAACATGATGCTTTGGTACTATATTGTATCGTAGTCTAAGTGCCAGAATTTAAATTGCCAATATTTCAGGGATCAATTCTTTCAAGTTCTTCATGGCGTATAAAGGTTCATTGATGGTCACGGATGACCTACTCCTGCAAGGCTTACAGAAATGCAAATCTCTTGGTGCCTTGGCTATGGTTCATGCAGAGAATGGGGATGCTGTTGCTGAGGGACAGCAACGAATGATCGATCTTGGGATAACTGGCCCAGAAGGACATGCTCTCTCAAGACCTCCAGTTGTAATTTCACACTAACTCTTCGCATTTACTGTTATGCCTATTTATCTTGATATGTTGGACAGATCAAGTGTTTTCTTATACAATATTCAAGTCAATTTGGTGAACTAGACACACCATGAAATTTGTGTATTTTCTCTCACAAGGAAGGATAGATACCATTGAGCTGCTTCTTGTTCCCTGCAGTTGGAAGGGGAAGCAACTGCTCGGGCAATTCGATTAGCCAAGTTTGTCAATACACCATTGTATGTTGTTCATGTGATGAGCATTGATGCAATGGATGAGATTGCCAAGGCTAAAAGAGAAGGTCTGCCACCTTACCTTTCAGTTGCAATCAAATTACTCATGCATGCAAGCAAGCCAGAGTTTTTATATGAATGAATATGTTCCTAGAAAGATACATTGTATATGTTCATTTGCACTTTTAAGTAGTCTGGTTTCAAATAACAAGCTGGCCTGGGTCCTGGGAACTGAAAAGTCGCATTGGATTGATCATGCCCCAGATATCTACATTGATATAAATTTGGCAAGATATCTCAATTTGACAAACAAAGCATATATTGATACAAATTCATACTTTGCAGGGCAGAGAGTCATTGGTGAACCTGTGGTTTCTGGGCTAGTACTTGATGATTCTTGGCTTTGGGATCCGGACTTCATGATAGCTTCAAAGTAAATAAAAGCACAAATTTAATGCTTTGTTTATGCAATTGTGGTTTCTTTTATCTCATATCACATTTCTAGGTATGTAATGAGTCCTCCTATCCGAGAAGCAGGACATAATAAAGCACTTCAAGTTGCTCTTTCATCAGGAATTTTACAGGTGATACTTTTCATACCCTCAGTTTGACATCACGGAGTTACTTTTTCATCTTAGCTAATATTTGGAGGTCAGTTAGCAAATTATAGGGGCGCACTGTTTGCTTGCAGAAACTTATACCTTGCTAAGGGGTAGAAAACTTCACATGGATGACTATCTAACTGCTCTTCATTTCTATGCAGCTTGTAGGAACTGATCATTGCACCTTCAACTCCACACAGAAAGCTTTCGGCTCTGATGATTTCAGAAAGATTCCTAATGGTGTTAATGGTAATCCTTGTGGGTTGTGAATTTCAACGTTGACAAATAAGTATATAAAAGAACTTTTGATTTTATAAGGAATTCGTGTTTGGTTTGAATAAACCCAGCTAAGGCATCTCTCTCTTAAACGCTTGACCCCAGGTATCGAGGAAAGGATGCATATTATTTGGGACAGTATGGTGGTAAGTTGATATTTTGAATGGTGTTTTTAATGGAAAATATTCTACAGTATCAAAAAAAAAGTCAGCAATCCAGTGGTTCCATTTCCAGTATATCTCTTATCTGACATTCATACAATGTATGCAGGAGACTGGCCGAATTTCTGTCAGTGATTATGTGAGAGTGACAAGCACAGAATGGTATATTGAAGAAATTCACTAGCTATCATTTTAAACAACAAATTCCCCACTATTCAACGAAGTACAATGATCAAATTACTCAAATCTTTTCAGTGCCAAGATTTTCAACATATACCCTCGGAAAGGAGCAATTCTGGAAGGATCTGATGCAGATATTATCATCCTGAATCCCGAGAGGAGCTTTGTCATGGGTGCCCACACACACCATTCAAGGTCCAACACAAATGTGTACGAGGGCAGGAAAGGAAAGGTCGGTCCCTCGTTACTCACAACTGCATTTGCAAAAGCTTGAATTCAACTTATGTTTTCTTTTTCTCTCTCAATCGGTGTAGGGAATGGTAGAAGTCACGATCTCAAGAGGGCGAGTTGTGTGGGAGGATGGCATTCTGAACGTTGTTCCCGGTTCAGGAAGATACGTCAGAACACCGCCTTACAGCTACCTGTTTGATGGCATTGAAAAGTCAGACGCTGCCTACAGAGCCTCCCTTCGTGCCCCTGTGAAACGTGGCAAGGCTGCTGCTTAACGATGCCCGCTGCTGATGAACTACAGAACTAGTTTCTCCAAGGTGAACGACGTCTGCTCCATGCGTAACTTCCTTGTGTTTGTGTATACAGATCTCATTATTCATATCATTTTCTGATAGGTAAGAATGTAAAATTACCTGATACTACCTCCGTTTTTTAATAGATGACGCCGTTGACTTTTTCTCACATGTTTGACCATTCGTCTTATTCAAAAATTTTATGCAAATATATAAGATATAAATCACACTTAAAGTATCATGAGTGATAAAACAACTCATAACAAAATAAATTATAATTACGTAAATTTTTTGAATAAAATGAATGGTCAAACATGTGAGAAAAAGTCAACGGCGTCATCTATTAAAAAACGGAACGGAGGGAGTATAAAGAACTTTCTTTTTTAGTTTTTCCTTCTTTTCTGGACAGCCATAGGAATTTAAGAAGCTCACTTCTGAACCAAAGATTTATAATGTTATTTTGGTTTACGCCAGAAAATAAGTGTGTAGATTTCCCCTGGAATGACCAGGTGAGATTTTAGTTCAGGATGTGCTCCAATAGACATTGGTATGGCTCAAAATTGTTTAGTACTCCGTACCAATTACGCCTACATTCTTAACCAGATATATCTGTAATGCTTATATAGCAATATCACTATCTGAAATGGTATCTGGTAACGTATAACTCCACGTCTCCACCGTCAGTTTCACAGGTTGCATGGTTTCTTTGCAAATTGTACCCTCCAATATAATCACTGGATAAGCTCTAAAATTATTCTGCAAGTATTTACATCCCCACTTTTCTCAAAAATGTTACAAATTTGCCCAACAACTCATCATATGATGTCATATACAGACTACAATATGCATTGAACATTCACTTGAAGACATACATGGAAAGATAGTGATCCGAGTCTGTCACCAATACATGAACATTGTGAAGAATCTAGGAAGTAGGGAATACCTCAATTCCTATCTGATATAACACTAGAGATACATTACCTAACAATATCCTACTTACGAATCAATTCAATTTATTTATTCCCTTGGACGGGCGAGCCAAAGAGAACTCAGGGCACGAAGCCGGGAGAAGTAGTCACTTATTGCAAGTAGAGCTCGTGCTGACTGGCGAGTGGTTAATATGCGCTGCATTTGCTGAAGAGTCTGAAGCCGCAGATTATCAGCCTGCAGATAAGGCATCGTTATAGTTCACCAAAAGTTACAATTTGCAACAGAAATATACATTTCTCTATGTCTATTTCTTGGTATTCCGTTTAATGGTTATTTTCCCTTCTGTATTAGTCAACACAGAAACATGTCTATTTATCTTTTTATCTATTCCCAATGTATTTATCCCCTACTTTGACAAATTTCAATGCAATGATTGCTTAAAAATAAACTTGTTTTGGGACAAATGGGAGGGGCTGAAAATGATCATGTTCTGGGACAGAGGGAATAATTAATTAATTTTTAGACAATGAGCCAATATAATTAGTGATGAGAGAGAGGTTGCAATCTCACTTTTAACCCATATTTGCAAAGGCATGGATCTAATTAACCCATTTAATTATGTGCATTAGCACCAGCTAGAACAGTCTATTGAGTACAGAAAAGGTGCCACGTTAGTTGTCCAAGTACAATGCATGAGCCAAATAGATTGCACAAACCAACTCGAACAATATTGAACAAACAAACCAGGTTATAAAATAGGAGGTAAGCAAATACAAGTTACCTGCCGTAGGAAGTTTTCTAGGGTACCAAGTTTCCCCATAGCCATTGCCATTTGTCCCATGTAGTTTGCAACATTACCAGAAGATCCTGCAGGGCCGAGAGATCCTGATGCCAGGGTCTCTGCAAGCGACTGTTGTAGTGCTTCCATCCCTTGAGAAAGAGCATCTTCAGCCTGTTGGGAGGATTGTTGCAGGTTGGCTATGCCAGCAAGCTGCTGCTCTGTAAGAGGCTCTAATTGCCCTGCCAGTAACTGCAGCAGAAATGTTGGTATAAAAGGAACTAGATGTCAGTCATCTTGAATTTGTTACGAACTGTGTGGATAGGGATAACTAGATTGGTGAATTCCACAAAAGACTATTTTTTTATAAAAGAAAAGGGAAAGCAAAGCAAAACAATATAATATCTAATTAGAAATGTAGATCGTGAGCTTTTCTAGCTTTCAAGTCGGTCAAAAGTCATGAAGGCAATTATTTAATCACAAAGACAAAAAGGACCTGTTTCGAGTGCAACAAATTTCACAAGAAATAGTTCATTTCACACAGAAATTGAGCGAGAAAAATTCTCTTATTCCAAACAGAGCCTAAGACAGTTTTGAGGCTATCTCAGGTAACACAGTTTACTTCAGGGGAATTCTCTTAAAAAATTCTCTTTCAGATTACTTCAGGGGAATTGCAAAGTGTGAGGTTATCTCAGGTAACACAGTTTTGTTTTGGGACGACATGTGGAATGACCAAATTAGGAGCATCACTTACCCACATCTATGTGGCCATGCCATTGCCAGAAATGATTCCTTGGCTGTCACCTGTGCTAAACCTTTTGAGGATTGTTTTAAGTTGCCACTGACCCAGGAAGCTTACACAGAATTTCTGCTGCTAAAGGGAGAGCTGGATGCTCTGTCCTTAGCAAGTCAGCAGGGGGATAATTGGAGTTTTATATGGGGCAGGAACAATTACACCTCAAAAGCTTTTTACAAGTTGAATTTTGCATCCACGCAACCTCCCAGACCTTTCCGATGGATCTGGAAGAGCAAATGTGTGATGAAGATAAAAGTTTTCATATGGCTTCTTTTCTCTGATAGGCTGAACACGAGAGACATGTTGGACAGGAGAAAATACGCCCCCCTAAATGCTGATCTTACTTGTGTCTTATGCCCTTTGCATGACAGAGAAACTTTGTCTCACCTGTTCTTTCAATGCCCTTTTAGTAGAAAATGTTGGCAGAAGCTGGGAATATCTTGGAACACTTCTCTAGAATTCTTTCAGAAAAAAGGATGCTGGTGCTAGCAAGATTGAGATTTCAGAAAAAAGGATTCTTGGAGATTTATTTCATTGCGTGTTGGCACATTTGGAAGCAAAGGAATGGAAAGATTTTCCAGAATATAGATCCTTCATTTGACAGCTGGTGGAATTCTTTTAAGCATGAAATTCTTCTACATATGTGTAGGATGAATGATGATCTTAGACAATTGGTTTCTAATTGGTTACAAACTTTATAGCTTCTATAGGGGGTTGTAGCCTTTTGTATTTTTTCTTTTTTTCCCTGTAAAAACTTTGTTGGCTTCTATAAAATACACTACTGGGCCATTGCCTGGTAGTATTCCTTTCAAAAAAAACAGAGCCTAAGAAAAATATTGGATCAATTAAAATAATATATATTCAGGTCAGCATTTTGCCTCCGGGTGAGGCTTCAAAATAAGTAGGCGCAATATAATAATAGTATATTCTTACCTTAAGAAGCTCAGATGATCGGAAGCCACCTAGCCACATGAAGCACCTCTCAGCAGGGGTTTTCCACATTCCCGACAGCACATGAAAAACGTCTGCTTTGGCTGCCACACCCTTGAGCTTGAAAATTTCATTGTAGTGTGCCATAATACTATCAACTGTACTTTTGAGATCATTATCACCAGCGTGTGCATTAACTGCAGCCCTCAACTCATTTATATGTTTGTTATGCTCCTCCAACCACCGTGCATACTCCATGTCAAATGCCAAAGCTCCTACAGATTAGAAAACATCAGTACATTACCATAAAAAGGCATTGGCAGTATATTGGATACTTAACAATGAGCAACTGAAACTAGCTACCATGATATCTACAATTTGTTATTATACCTAAAGAAGTTTTTTTTTCTTGCACAAGACTCTTAAGTATAAAGTAGTGTATCGTGATAGCTAGTCATAGTTGGTCATGTTCGTGTCTATCTTCTTCTCTCTTTATTTGTCTCCTTTATCCCAAGTAATACCGAAGAAAAATGATGATTAAAAGACACATGATAAAATACAACAGACAGCACTGCTTATATTAACCAACAATTCTAGAAAAAGAGAAAAGTCAGTACACTATTACCATTTCCACTCGCTGAGTGGGACTGATCACTCGATGTTGATATAAAAATGCCCTGAAGCACATGTTGGACAATTAAACCGAATACATGTTTATCTCTTGAAACTTCTGATAAATCCTGCAAGAAAAATATTGAGCTTCTACCTGTTGACGAGCCCGCTGAAGCTCTTGCTCTATCTGAGTAAGTTTCAATCTGCTACTCTCAAGGTTTTGGATATATGCCTGCAGAAAATAAATGATGAAACCATACAAAGCATCCAAAAGAGCACAAACTGAAGAAAAAGGGCTAATTTTTTTTAAAAAAAAATGCTTATCTAATCTACAATTGCAAATACTATCATGGTTTAGGACAAGTTTATAGGCTACTAATGGAATTTCAGGGTAAAAATAATCCGTAACACACTACTTAAAGAAAGTAGCTTGTTAGACAGGAGATGATGAAAGAAAATATATATGTAGCTCAGTAGAAGTTCAAATTCAACAACAATATCAGATAAAACATTTCAAGATCATACAAAGTTACAAACACACCTTCTTTCTTAAACGGCTTTTCCTAGCAGCTTCACGATTTTGGGCAAGGCGGCGAAGTGTCTGTTGAGAAAGAGTCATTTACTTTGAATGGTGGATTGCATGTATGATCAAAGCATATTGTATGTGGTGATACAGCGCATACCTTATGATCTAGTTTGTCCTTTGACCTGTCACTAGAATCAGAAGCAGTGGGAGCAGCTAACTGTCCTTGTTCAAACTGTTAAGTATATATAGCCAATAAATCGATATGATTGAGTATAAATTTAGCATTCAACCCCAAAAAAGCATAAATAAAGTGAAAATAATACAAAATAATTGAAGTGGTTGTGTTAATGGGAAAATTCAATTATTTACATGATTGAGGATCAATGTACATATACTAAAGCTTCCACATGCTCCAAGAATGTTATAGGCAGCATGCAAGGATTAGTCTAGGGAAGGCAAAATCTACAAGTAGTGCTACACTGAATTGTTTCATCAGCTAATCTGAACTCAATGGCACATATGAAGTTATGAACCATCAGTCCTTAACACATAAA